GTAGAGGTGCTGTCTACATTGATCATCAAATATCACTCAACCTGAACCATTTTTTTCCCTGATATTTTGGTTCAGCACTGAATATAAATAAAATCAGTCATTTGCTCAGCTCACTTAAGAGCATAAGGGTAGCCATACTGAGTCTGACCAATGGTCTATCTAGTCCAGCTCCTGTGCCATATACTTCAGATGGAATGAACAGAATACGGCAATTAGTGGGTTGAGAGTCAGCAACCTTGTGTGGGGGTCGGAGGAGGAATGGAGTCAAAGTGGCAGGGAGGGAAGGAAACCTGTGCAGGCTGAGTTTGCTAAAGTTTGCCTTCTTGAAATTCATTAAATTTCCCTGTTCTCCCTCCCTTCCTGCTTCCCTTCTGCTTCCCTAGAATCATTAACGCTATCATTTCATGAGCACGTTCACCACCCAAGCTGCCTTCCACTTTCAATTTCTCAACCAGTTCCTCTCTGTTTTTTTTAAAATTAAATATAGAACAGCTTCCCCTCTAGTAGCTTTCTCCATCTTTTGAAATAAAAGATGGTTTGCAATACATTACAAGAATTGTTTTGATAATTTGTGCCCTCCTGTGTTATTTTCCCAACAGATGTTTGGATAGTTGAAGTGCCCAGTCACCACCAAGCTCTATGCTTTGGATGATTGTGTTAGCTATTAAAAAAAAATCTTTTATCTACCTCTTCTTCCTACCATGACACCACTTTTTTACCCCTTTTATACTTACCAAGAGACTCTTAACAAGTCTGCCTCCAATGTCCAGCTCAACTTCCATCCAAGTGTATACATTTTTAATATATTAGGCAAAGCCTCCTCCCTCCTTGCCCTGCCTATCCTTCCTGAGCAAGCTGTACCCTTCTCTACCAATATTCCAGTCGTGTATTATCCCACCAAGTTAACTGTCAGCTGACCAACAAAAACTAACGAAATATATGGTAGAGAAGGTTGAAGGAAAATGCTGGTGTTGACAGCAATTATATGAGTATGGTGTGTATGAATGTATTGTTATAAGATGTCAGCTTCCAACAAAAATAACTGAATTGGTGATTACGAGGTAGCAATCTTTACTTGAGAATCAGAAATTTTCATATTTGGTTCAAAGAACTCTTAACTTGAACACCTACTAGGTCTCATTTGTTGTGATGGTGCACAGAGGAAGAACTATTCTCTCGGATAACCAGATTCCACACGGGTTTACAGGTCATGAACACGAACTACAATTGAAAAATAAGTAGCAAGCCAGTGCCGCTACTGAAAAATTAGTGCTATATGTTGCCTCAGCTAATGGGCACACTTCCATATTCTACAAGAACTATATCTTCTGAGTAGGCATCAAGGGAATCCCTGTGTAGGGCACATTCCAATAAATCAATCTAGAAGCCACAAAAAGTTGGATCAGAGAGACACAAAGTCTCAACTGCCCAAACAAGGGATTAAAAATGCCTTTAGCTACTGATGCCAAATAAGTGTTCAAGAGTGCATGAGAGTAACGAAACTCCTGAAAATAGCAAACTTGTTGGATGCAGAGTGGCCAAAGCACTCCTAATAATAAGTGTCAAAATCCCCACCACCAATACGCTTCCAATCTGGAGTACTATCCACTAGTTTCATCTTTGTCTTATTCAATTAATATTCAGGCAGCTTGCTTTCATCTGCAAACCAATCTGATTCAGGCAGTAGGAAAGCTAAGACACAGACCATCTGGGTCTGATGAAAGCAAATGCTCTGAAGTCACCACTTTCCATACTAGTTTGATTGTCTCCTCAAATGGTAATACATACCGTTTTAATAGGAGGGGCACTGAAACAAAACATTATAGCACCACATACTACAGATCCCTTAGGACAGAAAAACAGCTGCTGTATCCCACCATCTGGGACTTCTCAAAGAAATAATACATCACTTCAGAGGAAAACCATTACCTCACTGCATCCAGAAAGTAGCATGGTCACTGGTATCAAAACCTACTCATAGATGTAGCAGAATCAGCACAGATACCTGAACTTTGTCCTTTACTAGGAGAAGGTAGGCAATCTGTCCCTGCCAATCTCAATAAAAAAAACCATGAACTGATAAGCATGCAGAATGTGAGGATTCTAGTATGTGCCATATGTGCATTGCTATTGTATTGCTTCTCAATAATCTCTTCCACAAAGGGGAAAAGATTAGAACTGGGGACAAAATGGCAAGTTTGTCAGCATCAGCAAATATTTTGTTTTAAGTGTGTAGACCCTTCCCAGCCACAGGCACAGCCAGGATCTCTCCCCTCCAGGGACAATCCACAGCAGACTCCAAAGCAGCCTGGTAAATCCAAGCCCCAGCAGGCTTTCTGTAACAGGCTTTAGCTGCAACACAACAGCTCCTGACTTGGAAAAGGCTCCACAATAGGAGCCTGGCTCCTCTCTCCAAAAACGGAGACTACTAACTCTTTCTCTCTCCATGCCTGGGAGAGCCACCTTTTCCCCAAGGGCTCATGGGAGTTGTAGTCTCTAGGGCCAAATTGGAACACAAAGGATCCTCCCAGAAAAAGCCAGAGGCCTCTTTAGTAAGGGAACTACAAGTGGATAAGGGTACAATTCTCTCCTCACACAGGACATGTGAACAATCTCAACCAACAGTGGACCCAATTCCTCCTCCCCTGACTATATTAGTTGTGTGGAACAAAGATCTTCTCACGTGTCACAAGAAAGTTTCTGAGAGCCTTCAATACTTTTCAGAATAAAACTCGCCTAAATGCAGCCAGGGAAGTCATGACTATTCACATCTGCAGAGATAAAACTACACTTATGAAAAGAGCTACACAGGTACAAGTCATACTGAATGGAAACAGTTCCTCTCAACTTGAAAGACTGGACTCTGTTTCTTCATGGAGGCCTCAAGGATTCACGAGGCTCAACCACCTGTAACAGTTCCCTTGAATAAGAAAAAAAATATGCAGTGCCTTTCATTTACAGATCTCAAACCACTTTGCAAAATATACTGTTATCCCCATTTATTTTCTTTTACACAAGGAGAAACTAAGGCAAAGAATCAAGGCAACAACTGTAGTCTGGAAACTAACTGGAAACATACCAGGTCCCCTGATTCTCACTGTTGCAGCCTGACCCACTGAATCCTGCTGCATATTGCTCAGGACTGGCAAGGTTGTGATTTTTCCCATTTTAATTTAATGTCAAGAAAGCAAAACTATTGCTTGGGACAAAACATACGGGCAGACAAACTTTTCACGAGATAATATGATTGCAATTTGTCACACACTGGCTACAGAACAACAAAAGTTATCCTGGTTGTAATGCCATTTTTGAATGTGCTTTTAAAGAACTGTCAGAAAATATTATTTCCTCTCTGTTGCCTGAGTGAAACAATAAGTACATGTATTGTATGCACAAGTAAATGGGGTTCTCTCATCTTATTGCAATTAACTGTCCTTTGTGACTACAAAATCATATCAATTTGTTAAATACAGTTGTTACTATCCTCAGTCTATATGCTCCTTTTTAAACTACTTCAAATACAAGCTATTAAATTAAAGGACTGGCATACTAAGTGGTGGGATTATAAAATGCTAGACAGTATATTCTACAGATTTGATTAAACTACTTGAAAGCAATGTGATCTGCTTTGTAAAAAACCTTTAAAATTATCTATTTGTTTTTGCAAAACAAAAACACAAAGCATTTCTTTTATGCCTTTGGATAGGTGTTCGTGTATTTAAATAAACTGGAAGAACAAACCCTTTGACATTAGATAGACTATCTTCTGAATTTGTTAATGGATCAATTTTTAAAAAATGAATCAGGAGTTTGATGGCATAACAAGAGTAATAACCTATCTTTCACTATCAAAGGTTCCCCCCCCCCTTCAAATTTCTCTTTCAGTATTATTGGAGAGCTTGTCTCACAGTTAAAATGAATTTCCCTTTAATCTTCTCCTTGAGCTGCTGGATAGATGCAGCCTCTTAAAAAATTCAGGATATCTGTGTAATTGTAAATTGATCTGTCTCTGTGGCAGAAGGCCAGGGGCGCTCTTCATCCAGGAAAAAGACCCAGTCTAGTCAAACTTGTTTTTCAGTCAAATGATTAATATTCATTTTCTCTAGTCACTGTATTTTCCTATTAATGAGAAAGCATTTCTGAAAGAATCATGGTATTTTATGGATGGTTTATTCCTGGCACCATACCAAAAAGACCCAGCTCTTGATCACTTTAAGACAATAGATATTTTTTAAGTTTTATGTTTACTAAAATAGGATGGAGGTTTTATTCAAGTTAGTGATAACTTGTCATTGTTACATTGTTAGTGTTGTGGATTTAGTCAGCATGTTAAAAAAAACAGATTTTTAATTAAAAGTTGAGAATGAGCATAGTTATGACTATGCAATCTTTAAAACAGACACGTAACTCATTAGTACCAGTAGAGGAAATAATCTGTCTGGTGTGATTCTGAATCCACATAGCCTATTTGCCTTTGGCTCTTTGGTTATGAGATCTGGCATCACTTGGATTATTTCACCTAATCCATCATTAGCTTTCATGTGTCCTATATAAACCTAAACGTAACAAACCCAACTCCTCATCAATTACCACACTGAATACATTACATGTCTGTATAAAGGATACATGAATACACATACTGAACTACATCTTTCTTTGTGAAACATCAATATTTTGGTACCCTGTTAACCCCGCTGAATCCTCCTATAACATTTTACCACCTTCCATCAGGAAAGTGCAATTCTGTACTAATCTCTCTATTGAAATACAGAACTATTAAAAAGGCTACCAGTGCAAAAAATCCACTTAAAAAGAATGTGACAATTTTTTTTTAACAGAACTCTGAAAGATGACCTACATTATTTCCCCAGAAATCTGTTCATCAATAAGTGGTACAAATTGATATTCTACCATAAGAAAATATTGGGATAAGATAGTAACAGTCACAACTGGAAATAAACGTGATAAAATATGTTAACGTGACACACTTCCTTACTTACCAGTCTTCCATAAATATACCGATGAAGTTTCAAATTCACTTTGTGTCTTAGCTTCCCAGATTCCAAATAGAAGAACCACAAGAACTCCAAAACATCGGATTGAAGCAGAAGAAGCTCCTGGGTCACCGAATAAAGCTGTGCCTCCCTCTCTCACCCCCATGCCTTCAGCAGGCAGCTTCAGTATCAAAATGTGCAGCACAAAGGGTAACCCTTGTTTGAGTAATTTTCTCCCCTTCACAATTTGTTCACAGAGAGAACAGAATGGAAACCTCTTCCCAGCTATTGTGCATGTCAGCTGAAAAGGAAAAACTGTTTAACACCAAGGAACAATAGAGACCTCGAAGGCTGCTGCTATTGCTGTTGCTGCAGCAGCTACTAGTGTGGTTGTTGCTCCACTCTCTTCCATTCAGTGGTTAGTAGCAGTTTTCCATCAGCTGAGAGAGACAGCTGTCCACAGGGGGCTCCAGCTGACTGAGCAGGTTATCTTGGTCTGGGAGGCAGCGGCAGTCATTTACACCAGCTGGAGAGAGTGAGAGAGAGAGATGAGGTGAAACACAAATACCCAATGCTGTAATAGCACTGCATATAGAAACTGTAAAATGCTGCCTTTTGCACACCTCTATGCAGAATATCACAAGGACGTGTACTAATACAAAATATCAGGTATGCTTGAGAGATAAGTACTATAACAGCTCTTAAAAAATATCGATGTTTTTCTAAGTTTCAAAATAAAAAAATCCAACATAGGTTTTTATTTAGCTGCATTGATATAGATTCAGTTTAGGATATAGAACTTGAGCCTTATTTTTGTTTTGATAACAATATGTAATATAATGTGTTTTTCATCGTGCAAACAATCAAAATACTTATAAATGGCTATACATGCACTAAACTGAAAACTCACAGTCTACAGGAAACAATGAAAAACTTTTTACTGTATAATATTCTAATGAAGCTGTTTAAGGTAATAACACAAAGCAACCTGATGAAAGAACGTAAAAGGAGTATATATAGGTGGTTATAACATAATATAAATAATAGTATAATATACATAATATAATATAATATAAAATAGAATATATAACAGTCCTATTCCTAGGATATCTGAGTGTAGTGTGTGAAAGAGATAAGAAATCATAGGAGCTGATAATTAAAAATTATTGACAATTTAATAAACCGTATTATCTGCATATCTAAAAACAATTAGCAATGAATTTCTTACAAATCTACCATCAGAAAAAACTGATTAGAATTATATTTTAGTTCTAGCTGGCCACGTTTTTCTTTTTGTTAATATATGTTTACATCAGAAGAATGGGAGAAACATCTTACACATACACATGATATAAATGTGTATTTATTTATGCATCTGTGCAGACACACATATTTTCCATCCAGTCAGCATGTACATATGCATACATGAGGACATGCACAAAATGTAAACTGTATGTCAAAGTACTTCGAAAACATGGTCATCTCTGAGTTTTTAAACCTGAAGTTATATGTAAGACTTTTGATCTAAACTTTACAAGCTATTCCACACAGTCAGGCATGCAGGGAACCGTGAAAAGTAGCAAAGCTTGTATTTTTTTTAAAGGAACTTTTTCAATAAAATTCCTCCCTAATGAACTGAATCAAGCCTGTTGGCCTAGTTTTCAGCTACAAACCTAAAGGCAAAAGAGAAATACTCTCAAAAGAGTGATTGTCATACACAAAGAAGGTCCAACCAAAAATTATATGAATGTATTCTAAACACCATGCAACCAGAGAGTTTTAAATGATGAAGCTACTGCTATTGAAAGAAGAAACCTTCAGAAAGCCTCTCTTGGGATGCCTGTCATTTTGCAGAACCTTCCCAGACTCAGCCTTTTCACATGCATTAGATTAAAAGCAGCCTTGATCAAATAATTCCCAAATCCTTGCTGTTTAAATATTCTGACATCAGAGCAAATTAGCAATGTTGAAGGTTGCAAATTTGTCTTTGTTTACTTTCCACTCTGTTATGCCTGTAAGAGGGAATTAAAGGCTCTGGGAGCCCTAGCACTGTGAGGCTGTGATTAAGAGAGATAAGCAAGTGTGGATTACTGTTCCTCAGCTGTTGAAAAACAGGCAACAATCAGGAGATTATAGGTTGATAAGGGATACATAGAAAGCCATGATCCTAACAAATGTATAGCATCCTGATACAGGACTTGCATCACCAGCTAAACTACAGTTAAAAATACAGTCATTTCTCTTCCGCACATTATTCTGTGTGTTCAATTACAAACCAAGTAGACCCACTGTACTTGTGCTATGTGGTGTGATACAAATACAAAGCTGATTTAAACCAGTGAAGCCCCTTGAATTTATAGCTCAGGATTATTTCATAGGGATAACTTATGATTTATACTAGGGGACATAAGTATACTTGATATAATGAAATTTATTTAGAAACAAGATTATGAATACATTCTCTGAGAAAATACCTTTTATACTGAACAAGGAATCTGTTGCAGTAATTTCTGTTCTATTTTAATTACATACGTAGAGAAATAGCTTACATAGACCTTTGAAAAATAAAATTAAAAACACTAGCTAATAATGAAAGCTTAAGTGAGGGGAGAAGTCAGGCTTACAGGGCTACATGGCCAACAAGGGTCCCTTTTCAGAGGCATTAAATCTAATGGAGCATGGAAGATTTTACCTGGAGTTTATATGAATCTTCAAAGAATACGGCTATAAATATTTTGTACATGACCCTAGGGACACAGACTAGCCAGGCAGTTAGCACAGCACAAAAAATGTGTCTGGAATTGTTCCTAATATGAACTCACATCTGTAACATTTGTGTATGTGGTTGTAAACACACACACACACACACACACACACACACACACACAGAGTCATATTTCCATCTTTACATTTAGCTATTTATTCACACACTTCTGAAAATTTACAAGAAGAACACTATTGAAACTCATTAGTCACAGTGGGGCAAACTCATTTAATTTTTTAATATGACTGCAATTCTTTTCAAATTATCAAACAAAGAAACATCTATGCAAATAAAAGATATAAAATACAATAATGCAAAATAATTATATCAGCAATTTATTATATGTAGCTGATATAGATTTGGAGCGGTTTGGTAATACCTTATTAATACCATAGAAAGAATTTAAGGAAAGCTCACTGTATGAATTTACTGTTTTAACTTAACAGAGGACAGTCTGGGGGAAAAAACCCAAACAAACAGGGGAAAAAATGGCTTCTGATAGGTCCGTGGTGCCACCTGCCCCCACCCCATGCTGATGCCTCTATCAGAGACAGCAGCATAGCAGGAGGTGCAAGGAAAGCTTATGTGAAGCAGTCTCTGCCCACAGTAGGCCCGGGCTCATCATGGGCAAAGGCTGCTTCACGGAGCAGCCCCTGTCCACAGCCAGCCTGGGCCTCTGCAGATAAAGGCTGCTTCGTGGCAGCCTCTCCCACCCTCTTCTAGCCTCTGTGTGCAGGGAGATCAGACACCCAGTGGATAGGCGCTTCTGCCACCCAGCACTGCTGCCTCTGTATCAGAGGCAGCAGTGTGAGGAGGCAGCCAGCCAGTCTGCAAGGGGAGCTGTTTGGTTTTTTTTTAAAACGGCTACCCTCACGGACCAACTCCTGCCTGGAAACCCACGCTGTTGCCTCTAACAGAAACAGCCATGTGGGGGGCGGGGGGGGAGCAACGGGCTCCCCAGGAGTGCGGCCGAAGCATAGTGTCTGCCAGCCCCACCCCCGAGGACTACACAATAGTCAACTAACTGCTAAAAATTCATGAGGTTACTCAACTATTCTATTATCTGCTAAGTTTTCTAGTTTTGAGAAGGCTGTCTGGTCACTGTATACCATTGGTCACAGACTCCAAAAGGAAGAACACCACATGTCTGATTATGGCATTTGTCAATTAGGGTACATCTAGACTACAGGGTTTTGTTGACAGGCTTTGTTGACAGATACTGTTGACAAAGAGCTTCTACACTACAGCTAGTTCTGTCAACAAAGCAAGCCGCTTTGTCGACAGAAAGTCTAGACATTCTCTTTTGAAAAAGCACAGTGTGGATGCAATAGCGCCTTTTGTCAACAGAACTCTGTTGACAAAAGGCATTATTCCTTGTAGAATGAGGTTTACCGCCGTCGACAAAACTGCCGCGTTCTGTCGACTTACTGCTGACAGAACACGGCAGTGGTATAAATGCAGGTATAGTTTTATCGACAAAAGTCCACTTTTGTCGACAAAACCCTGTAGTCTAGACACACCCTTACTGTAGCTATGCTCAGGTGTCTATTGTAATCCCTTGTATTCATAATGTTGTTTTGAGGACTTTTTAACTGAAATTTTCCATGCTCAGTCTTCACTCATTTTTGAGTTATGAAAAGATGTTTCAATTTCTACTCCAAAACAATATTTAGACAAAAGGATACAGAACTGTACTTCAAAGATTCAGAAGTTGAATTTTTTTAGGTCTAATCCTATTTGGATTATAATCTCTACATATTTCCCTCCTAGTAACTCAAAAATACCATCAGGTAGCTTTAAATAGTTTTTGTAAAAGAGCACCACAAAATTTCCATTAAGAGTAGAGGTCTGCATCAACTAATGATTCAGAATTTCTCTCAGTAATAGGTATTTATATTACTTCGTTTGGAATTGAACCTTTATTCTTCTATGTATGTGCAGCATGGCAAAGTCTTCATATTGTAAACTGCTACTTTTAACTATTTCAGTTGATAATACAACTGTTCATATTTGTAAAATTGTAATGGGCATTGTAATTTGCCAATTTAATATGGTCAAGTGCTCAAACTGTTATATGTCAAAGAATACACTTTAGATTATCCCTTTTATTGGATTAAATCTTGAATAAACTCTTGAAACACACAGACTTCTCGTATCGTAAAGCAGGAGCCCTTGACAGTGCAAAGTTGATCTAAAAGGGTACACCAATGACACGAACTGCCAGCAAACTCTCATCCACTGGGGGAACATGCAGCCAACCTACAGAGATTCTAAAATGGCTTACGCTAATGAAGGAAGTGTGAATTAGGGTTTTATCATATCCAGGGTCAACGTCAGTCACAGGTGGCGTTTAAAGTTACCCTCCCCTCAGACAGAAGCTCTTTAAACATAGTGATCTTGATTCACACAAGTCCATTGTGCATTCTCCTACCTAGAAGAGGTAACTCATGCATTTATTTATTGTTCATTAATCTAATAAAAAGACAACTTCCATCTCCTTGCTCTTTTATATAATATGCATATCACTTTCATAAGCTTGTCATTTACTCACAAATTGGCCAATGATAGCTCCTTTAATCAACAGTCTAAAAATTAGAACTTCAAGCAGTAATACAATGAACTTTGCCTTTAAGATTAAACTGTGCATTTATTTTTCCCTAAAACAATAAGTGGTTCTCAACCTTTTCAATAAGAAGACACACCCTACTACACATACACCTCTTCCCATCTGCCTGAGGTCTTGCTGGGACCTCAATCCCATT